GAGATCAGGGCGCATACACGTGCGAGGCAATAAACAACAAGGGAAGAATTCTTGCCACCCCCGATGCCATTCTAACTGTTCAGTGCCAAGAGACCGGTGCGTGCAGTGCTGCCGGAACTGCCGGCGAAAACGTGCAGGGCAAGAAATGTCTGTGCAAGGTAAATTCAAAGTTGAATCTATTCTTTAACCTCTCGTCGATTGAGTTTTAAATTTTAATCCTTCCAGCATCACGTCACCGGCGAATACTGCAATCAGTGTATACAGGGTACCTTCTACCTGAACCGAAGAAACCCGTACGGTTGTATTCAGTGCTTCTGTTCCGGCGTGGTAAAGCAGTGTGACAGTTCGTCGATGTACAGAACAGAGGTATTGCCGTGTTGTGGTCTTCTATAACTGATCGCTAAAATATTGATGTCAAGATAATCAGTCAATCAATCAGTCAGTCAGTCAGTCTGCTTGTTTGTCTGTCTGTTAAGCAGGCAGCTTGCGTACGTTTAACGTCTGATCCGGTCATGATAAGTTCCATTTTCGCCATTATACTTTCGATGCAAACAACATTTCGAATAGTAAAGATATACAGTGTTACTATCACATGAAGTACTTGTGTACCCTAGAACTTCTACGCTTCTACTCATATATTGAAGTACATGAATCACTCATTTGCAACAACTCTACTGACGTGAAAATAATGCCTACATCTCATCGTAACTCTGAAGGCGAAGGGAGCTTCGTCGTGAGGTCAGTTTGTGAAAATGAAATGTACATAAATACCATATGTACGCGTTGTTCGCCCATTCGTGACATTTGCGTTGTAATGACCATTCGATTATCCGCATAAAATATGCTGTCGATTTCACCATCAATGCGCCAATGCTGCTTATGAAAGGCAGTTCGTACCGTAGAGCATCTGGCATCTGATCATGGCCTAGTCTTAAAGCATTCTTAGACAGGCGAATGCAGATTTTTTATGTGTACCGCTCGGAGCATGATGTTTTACCGGATACAGGGCGTGAACATGTGTCACTGATCAAAGTGTCATATTTGTCATACCTGATTGTCGTGCTGCCTTAACATTAACATTGCCAGTTTACATAAAGGCTATTTCAGGAAGTTCAGGAATACGTCCCATTATTCCCCTGAGCATCAATCGAGAGATAATTGCTTGATCTGATTCAATACGGCTTGAATGGGCCAGTATGATTTTTTCGCATCGATTATTATCAATATTTAATGGAAAAATGTATCTGCTAAGTCTTCCGCTTTGGAGTATTTTTATAATAGCAAGCACCTGTTCCAGGAGCTTCGCTTCTTCGTCACTGCTGTATCATTAACGGAATACAAGGCATTTCAGAAGTCCGGGGCGACTTTTCCTGTTCGCAAAACGATCTTGAAAAATCAATTACCCGAACTTCACTTTGACACGCGATATCGTATTTTCTAAGCTATTCGTGAAGAGGATGACAACTTAGCTGTTGTCGAATTTGCGACAGTTTGATTTGGTCCTTCCGGTGACCTGACACTCATGAAGTGATCCAATTTTAAAAAGCAACACGATGAAATATGAATTATAAAAGAGCTGCTATTAGTGATAGAGAGGCAACTGGTGGCTTAATACTTGATACTTTGCCATCGCTCTCTTAAAAGATGTTCATGCGATGTCTGTTAATACTTTGCTTCAGATTCGTTCGGCCTTCAGCCCTGGTGGGCCCTCAGTGACGGTGTCCGACTTCCTTGAACGAAGCCCTGAGGCAACACCTAACATCGTGTTCCAGCCGCGCGGCACCATTTCCATGACCGGATCCTTCGACCAGGTGCTCTACTGGCGCTTACCGCAGGAATTCCTGGGAAACAAGGTGTGGCAAGAAACAATGTCTGGTTTTATTTTTGTGAATTAAAGTTATTAATTTAGCTCACCTCTTACGGCGGATACCTCACATTCACGATGCAGTACTCGTGTATCGGCGGAGAGCTGGATGAGCCGCTGATCGTCATTAGAGGCAATGAAATAACGCTTGTTCACCGGTCACGTACTCCACTGAAACCGGACCACTTGAATACCGTCCGGATTGAAATATTTGAAGTACTTTTCAATTATTGCTGTTTTATTTTAAAATTTTAACTCTTTAAATAATCTATCTATAATCATCATCAGCCTCTTTCAATGGCGATGCTGATAATATGCTGGAAACGTACCGAGGCACATGAATCTCATGCCCATGTTTCACACTAATTTCATGATTCAAAGACCAAATTTTACCAATGGGACGGATGGATTTGTAGTTGTGACCACCGTCCTTATTGATCATTAAAAAAGGCATTGTAAAACTTCTCTCTCATACCTTCTCACCTCAAAACGGATAGTGAGATCTGTACCATACTTCACTGATATCTGCCAATACGCCAACATCTGTGAAACACAGCACAGTGATGTTGCGCAACCTTTTAAAACGATCTCTTAGGTGCGCTGAAGAAATCAATTTGTAGAACGTCAGACTCCACCAAGATCTGCAGAGTGAAAGCTTTTCTTTGGTTGTAGGTAAATGACTACTTCTCCGTAGGAAG